GATTTAAATTACTTCTTATTATTCCCTTTATTAATCTTTAATTTAAAATATTTTATAAAGTATTTCAATTCTAAATATTCCTTTTTAAAGTAATACTTATAATAGGGAGCTTTATTAAAGCTAGTTTTATTAGTATTTAAATCGATATTAAATTGTATTCTAGTCTCTTTGAATATTAGCTTGAAAAAGAGCTTATCTAGATTAATATTAACTGTATTTTTAACTAATTCTTTATATTTTCAAAAAACAAAATTATCAAAAAAGCTAGATAGACTTTTAAAAAGAAACTATACTATAAAGGTATCCGGAATATTGAAATTCATTGATTTTAGGTAATTATATGATAATTAAATCGAATTAGTATATTCGTTCATTCCTTTTAAACTAGTATAATTAGATTCTATTAGCCTATTTAGGTATTTTTCTATTAATTTAATAGAAGATTCTCCAAATATCTTATTAATAGAGTTCTATAAACTTTTAGTTAAGGTTTTAATCTTGAATCTTTTAACTAATTCGAAGCTAATTATAGATTTAATAGCTTCTAATACCTTTCTTTTGTTTCTCTAATATTCTAAAAGTCTTTTATTGTATTTTATAATTAATTTAAATGAAATAGATTCTCCTGATTTGTTTATATATAAACTTTTATTAAGTGAAACCTCTATATTATCGATATATGATATATAGCTATTTATTTCGAGAAAGAGCTTAGCTCGATTAATCTATTTAATATAATTAGATCTGCCTTTTAAAGGATTAGATTTAAAATTGATATCAGAAGCCATTTTAAATCCTTTATAAATTAATTAGTCTTATATACTAATTAAATATTAGTCTAAATATATAACTGATTTCAAGCTTAAATAAATTAAATAAATAAATCAATTTAAAATCGATTTTAATCTCGAGGATCGAATAGACCAACCACCTTTTAAATTAGATCTTTATCTTAATTGGTATAAAATAAAGACTAAATAAATTAGAGCATCTTAATATAAAGAAGATTGATATATTACCTGCTATAGGTAGCAATATAGCATAAATATATTATCTAAAAACCTAATTTTATATATTCAATTAGGTTTAGCTTTAAGGACACAAATCTCAGGGTCTATATATAATAGTTTTCGATATGAATTCAATTGAATTGATTCGAAAAATTCGATATTCGACAGCTCAATAGCAATATATATATAATATATAGCCTTAAATTAAGCTAATTCCCTTTTTAAACTAATTTAAACTAATCAAGCTTATAACCTCTTAAAGATTAGCTCTTATAATAAGAAGGAATAATATTATTATAAGGATAATAGAAAATCTAGTCAGTTTCAGCTTGAAAAATAAATCGAATATATAGAATAAGAATTGAATTGAAGTCAATTTAGAAGAGCTAGACTGAATTGAGATGAAATTGCTTGCTTTTTCCTAGATTTTCTTTAAAGAATATTCTAGGTTTATATAGTTTATAATGAAATTCCAGTATATTCCATACTTATAAATAAGATCGATTTAAATCGTATCTTATAGAATCATTTTAGATAATAAAAAGAAAGTACAACCAATCAATTTAATAATATTTCCTATATACTTCCATCTAGTTCCATTTCATTTTATTTCATTATAAATCAATTTGATAAGAGATACTATTATACAACTATATGATAATATGATTTTATAATATAAGATTATATTATATGTGTATTAGTTATCAATATATTCCTTATTTGATAAGATATTAGTAAGTGATTTAGTGGACTTATTATGAATCCTCACATTCATATAAACAAAGGATCAAAGCTTCGGGTAATAGAAGACTCTACGAGAATTTAATTTACCTTTACTCAAGGGGCGAGCGTTACAGCCGCAAGAGTGTCTATTTTTTTGCAACGGCGGCGAAGCATTAAAAAGAGAAGGCGTATGAGTTTGCAGGAAAATCACTCACCTAGTCGGAAGAGTAAACCTCGCTCTCAGTATACACCCTAGTGATCAACGCACCCTCTCATATTCGGGTTCAGCTATGACTAATTTGTGTCGCTCGATTAAGGAGGGAGCAGAAATCAGATTTGACAACTGGTTCAACATTCAGTTCTCGAATCTAATTACTTGCCTTAGCATAATCGACATATTCCGAAAGTCTTCAATGAGCGCTCCAAATGCTTGACTGTAGCATGTTCATAGACAGATGAAAATCGATGAGGCTGCGGGGGGCTCCTGTAGAACAAAATGGAACCGTGGCTGTGACGCCGAATTTACCAGCTGTACTACCCACGCCGGAACAGCATGAGATTGATACGGAGGAGAAAATGAGAAGGATGAGAAAACACTTGGGTTTTGGGGAAACCAATCCGCTAGAAAATTTTCTCTGAATGGCGGCGATACGGTGGTGTAAATTTGCCTCGACAACCGGAAAACGATAGACAATGGAGAACGCATCCATAAAAGACCACAATGCCATCTGTAACACAATCAATTGTTCTGCATCTACCAATTTACCGATCGGGCACTCTCGCAAAATTCATAAGTTACAACTGGCTCTGGATTTGCGCAGATCAAACTAGATACTGGACCTCTTGTAACAGAAGTTTTGAGGGAGAAGGTCAAGCGCATGCGCTGTACTTATCGTGATCTCACTACTATAAGCTTAAGCGATCCCTTTTCTACCGAGCTTTAAATTCTGATTGCAGTCAAGCTAGGAATTGTTCCACGGAAATTCGGACATAGGTCACTTCTTAGCACTAGCGAGCTTTATGGGTTAACGAATTGAATTATGAAGGACAATCTGTAGGCATGCACGAATATGCTTCGGTCAAAAATGAGGAACCATCAGACTTTAGGTACATAGGAACTTACTAGTATATTCTTTGTTATGAGTCGGAGAGTAAACAACTTTGATAAGAGAGATTCTCTTGTGAATATGAGATGCTTTTATTATAACATAAGTATTACAGATCATGGAGAAGGATTTCAAGAATCGAGAATTGAAGATGTATAAGAGAAATATTAGTAGAGGTCTATCTCCTTAATATTCTTACTATCTGTAAGAATCATATGATATATGAATATAAATACTACTTTTATACTCTTTCAGTTTATTTATTAATCACAAAATAATGAACAGTTAATAGTTTAATAATAATATTTAAATGACTATAAATATATTCCTAGAACTCAAAAATAAACTAAGCTTTCCAATCAATCATAATTAGTAGAAATAGATCATAAAATTTTCAGGTATTTTAAACCCAAATTTACACATTCTTCCCTTCAACCAAGTCACTTAACTCCGAATTAACCGAGAAAAACTGGGGATGCGGAGATGACGGGAGGATCAGATAACTTAGATGCAACCACAAACCCCGACGTATAACTTTAAGTCCGTCGCTAGCTCTTTTGGGCGGTTTGCTATTGTATATATATTTAGTGAATATCTCGTCAGTTGTAAATTTCAAAAAGTCATTCTGTAACACTTCGCTACTGAATACACACCACCAAATACTTCGAAAGGGCCCTCTCATCATGGGTTTTATATTTTACTTGCAAATAGCAAATATAGCGTTTCATTTTCTATTGAAATTCGGAAAGCAGAAAGTCACAGCAATCATTCACCGTTTCACATACCGCGCAACTTCCGATCCAAAAAATATCGTCATCATAGGCGGCTCGTTCTCCGGAATGCAGTTAGCGAGGCTACTTTCCACATCCATGCCTAGTGGATATAAAGTCACGCTGGTTGAACAAAACACGCATATGCATTATTGTTTTGCTTTTCCGAGATTCAGTGTGCTGAGTGGTCATGACCACAAAGCTTTTATACCTTATGAGGGACTTTTGAGACGTGCGCCGAAAGGAGCTATATCTATTGTTCATGAGAAAGCTGTCAATATTCATAAAGATCATATTGAGCTTGCATCAAATGAGAAACTTTCTTATGAATACCTCGTTATCGCAACAGGTGTATCACAGCCTGCGCCGGCTCGACTATCCGCGACAGATAGGATCGGGGGCGAAGGCGAACTGCGTGGTTATCAAAAAGCTATCCGTGCCTCTTCACGAATTGCAGTTGTTGGTGGTGGTGCAGTTGGAGTCGAGCTCGCAACTGATATCAAGAGCTTCTTACCAGATAGGAATGTGACGTTAATTCACTCTCGAGATCGTTTACTCGTTAGATTTGGACCACAGTTACATGAAGCGGCTTATAAGCGACTTCAAGAGCTGGGAGTGAAAGTTTATCTTAATGAACGACCTTCACTGCCTAATAGCAAGCCATTTTTGCCATCGGAGACAGAGATTGTATTTAAGGATGGTCAAGTTGAGACTTTTGATCTTGTGGTATGCGATGCCTATTATTGTATTTTCCCTTGAAAGACGATTGCTGACTTCAAAAGATATCATGCATCGGACAAAGCCCAAACTCCAGCCCACTCAAAACCCTTTTACCAGATGCCATCACAGAAGATGGTTTCATTCGTGTAGAACCAACACTGCGAGTCAAAGCCGAAAATGAAAAACACAAAAATATTTTCGCTATAGGAGATGTTGCAGCTACTGACGGTCCAAAGATGGCATTCGCAGGCATAGCACAGGCGGATGTTGCTTGTTCTAATATCCTTAAATTGATTCGAGAAAACCACAGTACACTTCAACCGTATGTTCCAAACTTTATTGAGGGAAAGATCAAGCTTAGTCTTGGAAAAGTAAGTAAACTATGGGTCCTCCGATTTTGAAGTCTTTATCTAACTTCCGCATGGCATAGGACCGCGGGGTGTTCTTCATGGAGAATGAGAATGATTATTTACTAAAATTTCCCAATCATGATGCACCTGATATTGATGCTAGGAAAGCGTGGAAGTTCTTTGGAGTAAATATGAAATAATCGAAGGATTGAGTCTTGCTGCAGCCTCGATGTGTAGCATTTGAAAGAGCTTGCATTCGTTCTCTAATAGATAAAATATTCCTAAAATCAATTATTTGGAGGACTTCCATCTTCAGTCTCTTTACCAATTAATTACACGTATCCTTTCACCCCAATAGTACAATACAAAACAGATGGAATCGTCTGATACAATCCATATAGAGCCCAACAGACTGTTGCCCCATCCGAACCCCAACTTTTCATAAAGCTGGGGCCCAAAGGTAGGTAAAATGAATCCCATACTGTTCGAACCCACTCGGGATGCCGCATTTGCCCATGCCCCGTATTTACCAAATTCATACAATTCGTAAGCAAGAAGACCTTGACTGAATACCATATTCTCTAGGGTAAAGACAGATGCACCGATATCAACTACTGACCATGGGCCAGTTACTTCGGCAACCCAGCTGTACCAGAGCAGTCCAATCGGCAATAAGATAGCAACAACCATTGAATATGGAAGACGGAACTCCGGTCTGCCATAATTGTTGTTTTTGTTGCTAAGACTTCTGTATAGCCAGTCCATGATACGAACCCCAATTTGAGACGCAGCGATTGCAATATATTGAAGAGCGCTGATCGATACAGTCTGATTGTAACGCTCTATATAAAGAGTGGCAGAAGTTGAAATCAAAATCGTGTAAATGCCAAAGCCAACTCCAAATGCGAATGTGATTAATTGAATCACTAGCCGATGTATTAATATCTGGCAGGGACAGACAAGTCCGATAGACAATTGAGGAAAGAGTTCTTTTCAACATTTGGCAATAAATGTCCTTTCGGCGTCATATGTGAACTCAGCTTCGGATTTGGCCTTTCGTCGAAGAAGAACTGGTGTAAGATTCCCGAATGAAACAGTATCCCGCCAAGGTTATGAAACTGTTAAAAATCGATATGATCCAGACTATCCATGGCCACACCACCAATTGTGCGATAATGCCTCCAAAGATCGGGCCAAGTGCAGGTCCAAGGTAGGGTAGAAAAGACGCAATTGCGAGCGACTTTCCACGTTCTCGTTTTCCATACACATCGGCCATTACGGGTCCATTAAGCTTTGAGGAGTGGCAACGGTCAGTCAATGAGCTTTGAGGAATGGATCTCTTTGTAGTGATACATACCGTGATACCACCACTGACTCCTATTCCCGTCATGAGTCTACCCGTGATCATCAAAGCCTTCGAATTCCCGAGTGGGCAGAGAATATTCCACAAAATATACCACGCATCGCAAAATAGCCATATACCTTTTCGGCCAGTGACTTCAGAGAATATGGCAGCCACGAAAGGTCCTATGGCCAGACCGAGAAAGTAAGTAGAAATATAAGTAGAAAATATAACCATAGCAGTATAGTCATCAATCCTCAAATCGCGGGAGATATTGCCAAGAGCAGCAGCAATCATACTGGCTGACATTAAAGTCACTAGCTGTCCCAGGGGAAATATGACACCAATTGTAATTTTGCGCCATGACGGCCAATTATAATTATTTTCTGGGTCATCTGAACCGTTCCAGGTGCTCTGTCGAGAGATTAGTCTAGGCGTTTAAGATACACACTAGATTCACATACTCCGTATTTTTTTCTGAGCATTTCTAGATGCCGAGAAGCTTCATCATATGGATTAAGCACTGATTGAATACCGTCTACATTTTGCTTCTGACCTGATAAAACTAGAATAGTTTTGTTATTTGAAGACGCAATGCCTTTTTCTTCTGCAGTGTTCATAATTTAGGATCGATGACAAGATTCTTGTATATTCGGATTGAGATTCGGTATTCGACTACTAATAAAGAGGGACAAAAAGCGAGATAAATAGAAAGGACAATGAGTAAAACTTTGCAAGTCATCAAAGTATCAGTGCAGAGTAGATCTAGCGAACAGATCAGATTACCCATTGTGAAATCCAATTCTTCCGAACTTTCGGAATTCATCAACCCATGTACGGAGTTGAACTTTTCTCGGGATAAAATCCACTTGCTGCCACTTGAAATTATCAGATCTGCTGCAAAATTCTCTTTAAAGTTATCAGATCCGTCGAAACCTTGTATGGCTTGCATACAGTCAGTCCTAGGCACGTTTCTGCCTGCCTGTGACACTGCCATGCATCTGTTGTCACGCACTGAACAGTCTACTTATCTCTCGGACCCCGGAATAGAAGCTCGTGTGCCACCACCAACCAGTCTTTACTATGGTTTGAAGTAGTTATATGTGAGTCAGATACACTGGGAGTAATGCTTACTGATAACTGTAGTCAAGATGTCAAGATATCAAGATTATGGACAAAAGAATTCCCAGGGTCCGGAACAATCTAATACACTTTCAAGGTTCTGATCAATCAACATTGCATGTTGAAAGAAAAGCCGGTCTCGGATCTCATTACCTACACTACTTGAGCGAATTCAGAAATCCTTTCGCTTTATCTTTCCAGCCACCGTTAGGCTGCGGTAACGGTCCCGATTGTTGTACAGTGTTCTCATTCTCTCCCTCCATAGCAAATTGTAACATAGCTTGTACAACCATACCACCCATTTGTTTGCCATCACTCCAACTGATTCTCAATTCCCCTTTTTCCAACTGGCAACTCCTCTCATGTGGATATAAAGTATATCTTAAGCCACCTCCTCCAAACTTTGGAATCTCAGGTCCCTCCCATTCTTCCCATGGCCCCTCTAATCGCGGTGCACATGCAATATATATTTTGTTCGCCGGAAACTTGTTGTTTCCAAACCAAAGATATGGTCGTCCTTTAGGTGCTAGTTCCGGAACTTTGATGATTGCGCCTTGCGCCTGGACCGGAATGAGATTGACGAGTTGATGAAGTGAGTAAGAACGATCCCATACTTTGCTTTTTCCATCGAGAGTATGAATGAGAAATTCGTAATTCTCTCTCGAGGTAAAATCAGACCCCGATCGAATGCGTGCCCAATGGTTCTTGAGGTCAAGGGTCGGAGATGGGGCATCCTTAGCACCAAAAAGATAAATATATCCATCATCTCCCACGACATAGGTTGTTATACCGAAATGTGGCTCATTTTCTCCGAAGAGCATATTGTCGCCCTAATTCTGTGAGTAATCTAATCTGGAAAACGGCCACAAAAATTTGAGACCAAGAGCCGTAAATGGAACTTCTTATCCCAATTTTTGTGATAGATGGAACTATCACATCCCTTTGGGTATAAATGAATTAGAACTTGCACTACTCACCATCAGTCTATCCACTTTCAAAGAATTGTCAGGTTGAACTTGAACCCGCGCAACACCTGTGCCAAAACTTTTGCCAGCCGTAGATCCATGCTTTTAATATCATTAGCCAAACCACATCCTGCAAAGAATTTCCATCGTGCATTTCGAAATATCACTCACTGTATACATCTTTTCATAGAATACCCACCCATCTCTTGCTCCCGGAAAATCTTCAATGATACCCCCAAATACCCAATTCACGACCCTATTAATCTTTTCCTTGTTCTTTAGATCCTTCTCATACTCTTCTTCGCTGCGCGTGTGAGGGATGAATGATGGTTGATATGCATTTTCATGCATGTATGTACAAGTTAATGGATCGTTCTGGGGATCCGGAACATAGGCAACAGTATTGTTGGAGACTCCAACAAAATGATTCGAGGAACTATGACAGAAAGTATCGCCAAACAGATAGTATGTGTTGCCCCCAAGGTATACGGGGCGGCCTATATCACGGGGATATCGACGGCCGGAAACTAGCAGCCGAGGGTTAGAGTATAATCATGAGGTTATAAGAATATTGACTTACTATCCTTGACTTCACCGAAAACTTGAATGTTTTTGATCTGAGGTGGCCTATGTGACAATTTTAGAAGTCATATCGAATAATTCTTTCGTGGTAAGTTTAACCTTACCATTTCATGTGAGGCATTTTGCTGGCGCCGGATGGATATGAAGCTCTCGACAATCGGGGTGATATACAATATCATCTACGGAAAGAGTGTTGAGTGTGTTCTTTTATGCACTATCAAACCTGGAAGCATGCTCAATCTGCTGATGCTGCGTGATGTCACTATCACAGGCATACCTGTATACCTCGGTCGGTCAGCTCATATTGGTAGATAATATCAGGGTGGTAATCAGCCGTTGCAATCGCGCTTTCCCCCCTATGAAGTTCCTTATCCACGCGGGGGAGGTAATCCACTGTGTAGCTTTCTAGGTTGTTGATTGGTGCTTGAGCATTGGAGCTCTTATCTGAGATAATGGGAGGGGCTCGGGTGTAGACGATATAAAATATGAATTAGTAGTTTTTCTTGAAATTGTACGCCCGTCAATGGTTTTGACAAAATAGATGACAATCGATTGGGAATATTTACTTACATAGTATGATAATAGTGTGTATATCATGTATACAAAGATAATCGGTTCCGTAATAAGCCACAATAATATATGCAAGTAAGCCCAACCCCTCCAACCCCTCCAAGCATCACCACAAGATCTTCATTAACATTTCGCACCTCATCACAATCCTCCATACTGTCCTCATTATGAACCACTAACTTGTTTTTCAAATAATACAATTTTTCCATTCATCTCTCTAGGTCATAAATCCCCATCTCCGCCCCCACCCCCACCACCCCCATCTCCCGCTCCCGCTCCCGCGCCCAACCCGCATAATGCTCCCCCGCAAACTTTCAATCTTCATCTCCTTCTTCCGCTTTGGGTTCGATTTTCAACACTTTCTGATTCTCCTCACATGTATCGGAATCGCCTGTCTTGGTAAGTGACATACCGTATTTAAAACTCCAGCCCTTTATTTTACATCACCCAGTTCTGAACCCCGTTTCCCCCGGGACTCCACCCCTCCATCTCTCCACCCCTCCACCCAACTTCTAACCTCTAACTCACCAACCAGTCCTCCTCCCACTCAGCTGCACCACCCGCTCCACCCACACCATCTATCTCCTCTCTCTCTCCTCCGCCTCCTCCCTCCCCTCTGACCCAAACCCTCCACCGCAACCTCACCTCTCTCCTTCCCCCAAATACTCAAGACAGCTCTCTCATCATCCGCACCGGCTTTCGAGGAATATGTATGACTTCTCAACTCGCAAGTTCGAGATGGGAATGTGCCCAACATGTCACGACATTAACGAATATAATCAGGAGCACGACCACAGATATCAATATTGATATCGATCCCCTAAACCTCCTCAAGCTAGCCGAGTCAGTGCGGAAAAGAATTGTATTCGATGGATTGCTGTGCGTTTATTTGTTCTTCCCCTTCTTCAAACCAACATAATACCCCATACCAAGAAACCTCACCGACCTAATACACCCCAGCTACATTTCCCTCCCCCTCGCCCTCCTAACTCTCCTCCTTCTCACCCTCATTCCCCGTTGGAAAACCGATCGCAACCCCGACACCAACTCCGAACGCCAAGTAAAATCCTTTCCCTCTCAGGCCCTCAGCATGATACTCTGCTTAATCAGCGGTAGCGCCTTCCTCTTCGCATTTACATCTATTCTCTGGCAGCATTTGGCCGCGGTGACTGCTTCGCGATTTATCGAGCGGATGAGTTATGGAAGTGCGGTGGCGAGAGTGGGGAGTAACGCTATGGTAATAGGATGGCTGGGGGTGTTGATGTTATGGTTTGCGTTTATGGGGTGTTTACTGATGGTGTTGAGTTTGAGGAAAGTGAGGAGGACTTTTGGGTAATGTAACGAGTTTCAAAAATGAGATAATATATCACTGAAAATTAGAAAGAATTGTCATGCAACATCTTTTTCGTGTCATCTATCGGCTATTCAATATCCAACATGCAAAATGGTATCATCGGATCATCTAAAAAAATTCCATCCCCCAAAGAAAGAAAATCGATTAAAGAGTCATAACTCCCCTTCATGTCATGCAAATAAACCCAGGAACAAATCAATATCCCTTTAAGGTTGTATTTCCCAATGCTTCCTTCAGCTCTTCGACAAATAACTCCAGGCGACTAATCATCGAACCCCATTTTGGTAATTCATGATCAGCCGTACTTTGTTGGACACTGGAGCTCACCACACTAAGCTTCAAACTTGGGACTGCTGAGTTGTCAATTTCCGTGTCATTCAGAAGTGTGATGCGGTATTGGAGATTCTTTCTGAGATATGGCTCAACATCCACATCGTCCAGTGATCTCAGATGACCTTCGGAAATGTCGTCAAGCAAGGCACTGGTAAGGGGGATCGTTCCTGTGACCAGTTGGTTAGGATCAGCTACAGAGGTACCTGAGGATGAAAGTTTTGCAAAGACGCAGTGAGTGCCGACTAGATTAGGTTCGAAGGACCAACTCGCGGGGTCATCGTTGAAAGGTCCAAGGAAGACGTGGATAAAGAATGACCTGGAGAGGGCAAATTTCTCAACTTGAATATTGGCAATCCATTCAGTGTATTGACCATTTGGGGCGAGGGCAAGGGAGAAAAGATCATATGTTGAGTTAAGTTGGTGCTCCCGTCCTAATAATTTAGAAGTGAGACCTGGAATCAAGCCGCGAGAAACCGTTTTTGCCGGAGCAGTGGTCCCGTACAGAAGATTTATCGCCTTGATAGCTTGAGCAGTTGTATTTCCTCCTTGCAACGTTTCCGGATATGCGTAACCAAAAGATTCCGTTGATACAACATCAGAAGAAGTATAAAAGTCGTTTCCATCGGCGTTATAAAATGGTTTAAGTGGTGTAGATACATCTTGGGTAGTTCCAGCCGTCATGGTGAAAGTGCTATATGACGCTTCTCTGGGAGTAACATAACTGTCAGGGTTCAAGGTTTGCCAAATGGCAAAACAACGATCGATCATTGTATGGTGAAGAAAGAAAAGTGGATCGAAGGAAGAGTAATCGATATAAGCCATGTGGCCACCACTTCCTGTCAATCCATGAATTTGATCGTGAAGAGATTCAATGGAATCAAAATCTCCTGGGCTGGATGCGGTAATCCATGCTTCATTACTGAACGTGCTGTAGTCGTGATAATTGGTGAAGAGGTTGTAGAGACGGTTTCGGAATGAAGCAGCACTGTTATCAAGCTGTTGGGCGACAAGGTTGTTCTGTGAAGTAGCAGAGGCATCATTGGATGTGGGATATCTCAATGTTTGGGGAAATTGGCTGAACTAAGAGTTGTTAGTGGGAAATTCATTATGAATAATTCGTTTATAACTTACAGGCGCATCAGGTAACTCCGATGGGTCCAAAGGGTTGAAGTGATAACTGAACAATGGATTGGAAATTGTTTGAACGCCGGCAGGGCCATTGACAGTAATAGTTGGAGTCGAAACACTTGGGGGTAAAACACTCTCCCCGGCGGGTGGTACAACAGCCCAATCCCAATATGGAATACGGAAGTTGGCTGCAGCGGCAGTATACCTGTCTCTCTCGGCTCCAGCAGGGAACTGTGCTGCAACGAATACAACGATACTATGGAGTACTTGCTACAGAAAGTGTCAATAGATGTGTCTCAGATGGCATGCATAGGATGTCTACCTCATAAAGTGCCAAGTAAGGCCTGTGCCAAGTAGGGAAGAGAATCGAGACATGGGTACAATATCCATTATTTTCGTCACCGGGAGTTGCTTGAACTCCGTCATATGGAAGATAAGGTCTACCGTGAATGCCTGATTGAGAGGTTAGCAGTTTACCATTTACTAGGTAGCATCGATAATTACCGGCTATCTGATACCATGAACGGATATCTGACTGATTGATAGTTTGCATCATTGATACTCCCAGAATATATAGCTCCCAGAGATCCGCATTCTTTTGTAGATCCCGGATTTCTTGACGAACTGGTATTGATGAATTTGAGCTGTTAAATGAGACTCCAGTAGTGGGCATAGGAGTAACATCCCGTTTCAAAAGTGCTCCGATGTCTACACCATAATCATAACCCCTTGGTCGATGATCGTGAGGTCTTGGGACTGCTTGTGCTGTTTGTGAGAGGAATGAACCAGCAATGGCAAGGAAAGACACGATTGAGGCTCCTCGAAAGAAGACCATTTTGATAAGAAATCGCAAATTATCAGTGAGAAATCTCGAAAATATGGCGGATGATCTTCAGGTAAAGTCCTCTTCAATGTTATGGCAATGCTCTAGTAGTAAAGACTGCGATTGGCGATGGACTTAAATATTAAAGGAGTGCAAAGTAAAGCAGAAGAAAAGTTTGAGAAACCGCAGCTTCAGATTCACCGGATGAAATACTTCGGCACTGTAAGGAGAGAAAATGCAAACAAATGAATGGACGAGAATGAGATGGCGATGAGAGAGAACCGCCCCCACGACTCAGAGCTCAAGCAGAATGAGTGAATGAATGATAGGATGAATGAATACAAAAAGACAGTAAAAGAATGTGTGTAAAGAAATCGAGGGATAAGAAGGGAGTAATGCAAATCAAAAAAAGAAATGAGACTCAAATGACGAAATATCCACGGTTACATATTCTTATTCTTATTCTTATATTTGATTTGTTTCTTTTCCCCCAGAATATTGGTGGAACATAAAGAACCTTATGATGGATGTAAGAAAAGATTAGGGCTCAGGTGGGAATCCACGAACCAACACCTTGCCATGACTCCGGGCTGAGCCTCAGTCAGTAGGAAATTGGCATGGAAGGAATGGCCACCCGTGTGGAATAAGGAATAAGAAAAATCGAGATCATACCAAGAGAACGGATTGTACGAAAACGTGATTTCCCGGCCATGTCTAGTTGGAAGCGTCCATCGGCAGGTTGCCGTTAGGATTCATGTAGCGTCCCATTAGGATGGATTTGTGGTCATCATGGAAATTTGAAGATCACCATCCTTCGACCATTGTTGGAGGCGAAGTTCAGCAGCTCATTTTAGGACAGTGACAGTAGCTCAGTCGTCGCGGTAGTAGCAGTCGCACGTACATGGTGGTGGTGGTATTGGTGGTATTGGTGGTATTGGTGGTATTGGTGGTATTGGTAGTATTGGTAGTAATGGTAATATTGGTAGCATTGGTAGCCTTGATAGTATTGGTGTAGTATCGTTATAAATACCACTACAACACCTTTTGTACGCGATTGTTGTCGATCAAAGTGTTCATCAAGTAAGATCTTGTAGAGATCAGGTCTAGTCCGTCGTTCCAAGAAAGTCTGAGGAATTAATAAGGATTAAAAGAGGAGCTCGGCAGGAGAAATCCTCAAGATTAAGGTTAAGGTTGATGATTACTGTATTTAGGGTTTTTCTGCAGGTGGGACGTTGGGGGAACGATGTGTATCTACCTAGTATGTACCTACATAGACTTATTATTGATGATGTACCGAGGGATAGGTAGACGATATATAACAGATCAATGGACGAATTGAATTTACAATTCAATAGAAATTATCACCATCCAATTTGAATATCTTCCTATCTGCTAAGGTTAGGTAATCCATGAGACTGATTGCCCATCTTCTTTCCTCCTTACTCCTTACTCCTTAGGACTAACAATTCATGGATTATTCAAAGTTCAAAGCGTTCTACATTTATTGTTTCAGAAATCCGTCCATCTCGAGTCAGAAGCAAAGGTTTGCCTCTATTCATGTGCCGACCTATCCATCTACCGACCTATTCATCTACCATAGCTACCTACAAGTGCCTACGGGCCTACCTTCCTCGATACCCATAGATACCCATAGATACCCAGCACTCTTCTCAAAGGAGACCAACAACTTCTCAATCTCCATGACCTATACTTCCATTATCTTTCCTTCCCTTGACTAGAAAATCTCACGTGAAAATGACTGATACATGATGCCAGTGCCAGTGCCAGTGCCAGTCAGTGCCAACACCAGTGCCAGTATACTATTTCAAACTTCTTTCTTCCTCTTCCCCTTCCCCTTCCCCTTCATCATCTTCTTGCCTACCTCTTCTTCCATCTGGGGCCGCTTACCCCCCTCAGCACTGCGGACGCCTTGGCATATTACTTACTTCATTTGGTCATCCGCTCCTTTCTCGTGTCATTCATCAATCATTCATTATACAGCTAAGATTATTACCTCTTTCAGATGTCTCGATACCAATACAATCCGTTTGCCGTGGTTGTATTTTACGTACCTGCCTAGGTGAGTATGCTTTATTGGACGGTGGGTAGATATGAGATGTCTTTACTAAATGGTTAGTCCAGTACTATCTACCCAGTTAGTAGTTTCACTAAAATAGCATTCAATTCTGGGAGCGAGAGAAAGAGACTCTGAGTGCTACGCCGATTGTTAATCTACCGGTATCTGTCATTAAACCGTCGAAGAAATCATCTAAGATTATACCATACCATTATTTAATGATGAGGTGAGCACAGAAATCCATCGAAAGCATCTAGCAGACCCAACACACGCGTCTATATCTTCTTCCAAAAAGTCTCCACAATATCAAGATCCATACTCCAACATAACCAACACAAACTGATACAAACAAGATCAAATCACAACCCCCGAAGACATTTACAATTCTAATTTTCATAACATTTCATTCAATCCTGAATCAATAATCTCCATCTTTTGACGATCCATTCATTTAGTGCCCAACAAAATTAAAAGAAGTACCCCTTGTAAATGCTACATTTATTCCTTTTCCCAAGAACGCCTGCCAAATTTCAATTCGTCAATCATCTTTTCCTCTCCCCATATTTTCTCCGCGAGTCACGCCATTCAAGGTCCAACATTATACTTCAACTTGATACCCATAGCCGCCAATTCAACATCCAAATACTTCAACACACCTGGAACAGCCACAACAGTGGTATCCTCACCACCTACCCATCTCTGTCCCTTGCCATCTTCCCATACCTCTCCTCCACCCAACTTTCCTTCTGCTCTCGTCGCACACTTTCTACATCTGACCACGCCGGTTCCCTTCTTCTTGCTTGCAAATGCCGAAACGGTAGGTTGAGTTGACAAGAAAGTTCCACATTCCTTGCAGATCCACGATTTGGTGTAATCAGAGCAGTTGAGTAATCTATCTTGCAACAAGAAAGCAGTACCGTGAGCCAGCAAAGAATCACGTTCCATCTCTCCCACACGGATACCACCGCCCTTCTTTCTACCCTTGATCGGTTGACCAGTGAGTTGTGTGACTGGACCTGTGGTTCTGACTTGGTATTTATCGTTTACCATGTGACGAAGACGTTGGTAGTAGACAACTCCAATGTAAATATCGGCGTGCAACTCCTCTCCGGTAATACCAGAATACATAGGTTCATTACCGTAGTAGTTATATCCAGCCTTCATCAATTGATGTCCGAAGTAGTCACCGGCCTTATGTTCCTCGTCGAATTTGAACGGGGTACTATCTTGAGCCAAACCATGTAATGCACCAGCTTTTCCGGCCAAGGACTCGACGAACATACCAATAGTCATACGTGAAGGGAAAGCGTGAGGATTGATGATGGTATCAGGTTGAATACCAGATTCCGTGAATGGCATGTCGACCGCTGGCCATTTTTGTGAACAAACACCCTTTTGTCCGTGACGACTCGAAAACTTGTCTCCGATAACTGGAGAACGAGGGATGCGAAGTTTGACAGAAATGGCTTGACAAGGCTCTATTCCGTTCTCGTTTCCAATCAATCGAACTTCCTCGATGAATGCGATTTCAGTCTCTTTGTATTTCTCGAAATGAGTCTGGCCATCTCGATTGACGTATTTTCCATTCTCGTCCATCGAAACTGTATGCCATGCAGCAATCAAATCACCGTTTTGCACCATTCGGCCAATAAATGGTAAACCATCCTCATCGATGGCTGCTTTCCATTCAGCTTTCACGAGTCCACCAGGAGCGAAACCGAAAAGCTTCTTGATATTTTTAGCAGATCGAGATTTGTGACCTTCTTCCAATTCATACTTTTTGGTCTTGTAGATTGTTCCATGACCGAAGCCGCGCTCGTGCGCGGACTTGTTGATAATCATAGCGTCGTCCATGTCGTATCCAGTGTAAGAAATGACGGCAACAACCGAGTTCATTCCGTTGGGGAAGTTATCAAAACCATATTCGTTATGAAGTGGTGCGCGGACAATCGGGGTTTGTCCAGTTTGAAGGCGATAGGCCTTGTTGTCGGTTCTGTAACGAATGGCGGTTCCGGGTGTACCCATAGATTGTTTACCCATCTGACATTGGTACATATTTCTGGGCGATTGGTTAAAATCGGAGAAGGGGGTCATGTTGGCAAGGATGGAAAGGATATGAGTAGGATCAAACTCGACGTGAGTGTGTTCCCCAGATTCGATCTCTTGCTCGGTAACTGCAATAGACATGAAAGGTTGTTCGAGTGGTCCAACAAAATCTTCTTTATCGAGAGGAAGATATTTCACTGGTCTGACCATTCTAGCTGGTGCAGCAGACAAATAGATACCCGGATATTGTCCACCGTGTGAATTGGGGATATAACCAATTTCTAAATTGGTTGGAACACCATGTGACTTTTCAACCTTCCAGTAGCGTAGAGTATCCGCAATGACAAGAGACTGCTTGGGTGAACACCAGCCCATAATCTTTCCATCTAATTGAACAACAACACTCTCATCAGTGGATGATGAGCCGGTGCTAACGACACCAAGTTCAGAAAGAAGCTTTGGTAAAGCCGATACATCCGAGGCGTGTGTGAGAATTATGCATTTGTGTGAAAGATGGTTTAGCAGTCCACAAGGACTTCCATCAGGAGTGTGGACAGGACACATGAAACCCCAACTCTCTGGCAATAACTTACGAACAGTAGTAGTCTTCAATTGAGCGAAGAAACTACCTCTGTGAATCATACGGAAATGGGCAATAAATCGTAGGAAGTTAATCTTTTCTGCCACAACCGTAAATCCAGAAGTTTGTTGAAGATCCAAACCCGTTGGGCTAACAAGATTTCCAGTAGACATGAAGTACTCCAGAGCACCACCAACTTGTTCATTCGTCCTTGAACAAATTTTGACCGGGAAATCTTTCAAGAATTCTGGAGTCGCAAAGTTGTTTTCTGGACTTCGTCGAACATAGTCCCTCAATGCCATTCTCAAACCAGTGTGAAGCCAATCTTCAAGTCTCTCCTTGATAATCATACCGAACAAGAATCCTCCGAGTAAAATTTCTTGATTCTGGACCGCATCAGGATTGTCTCCAGCACAGTCTCCAGCAACCAAAGAATACAGCTTTCTAGTCATGAAAAGAAGCATCTTGAATTTGTCCTTATCTTGCGCTTCTGTGACGTCGGTGTTTCCGAGATGGACGAGGACAATTTTGCGCAGGAATTCCGTTCCAACATCGTAATTTGACATCGTGTCTGGAACTCCAAGGACAATTCTGAATTTCTCACCCAAGTATGCTCGAGTCTTGCTCTTTGTGTATAAACCGTAGGCCTTGTATGTACGTAATAGCAATTCCACACGATCAGTTAAAAATGTGTTGTCTGCTCCCTTCGAACCAGCAGCACCAACAAGTCCTTCGAAGATTTCCTTGTCGTTTGTTTCCACCAATGCCTTCAAAATCATCATAGCAGGTACAAGGAATTCATTCTTGCGCCACGAGAAACGGAAAGTAACATTTCCATCATTGAGATAGTGAAGAACGTTGGTTTGAGAAGTTTGATCGGGTCGTACGGATCGAATGAGCATACCGAATTCGGTGTATGTTGGACCTCTGCCTTTGAATGATGGTCTGATAATGGCCATAGGAAAGTTTCTTCGGTTGACAACAAGAAGACGAATGATTTTCTCAATTCCGTTCACCACGAAGTATCCTCCGAGCTCTTCGGATTCCTCCTTCTTTTGCACAAGTTGTGCTGGTGAGTTATTTTGAAGATGGCACTTGTTTGACTAGAGAAAAAGGTCAGCTCAATCCGAGATTGAAGTTCACGAGGGTTTATACCATCAACATCAAAGGCAATTGCCCAAGATCTCTGATGAACTCTTTTGGGTCCCCGTTGTTAATCGAATACTCCATGCGCGCCGACATCTTTCCTCTGTAGGTAACATGTCGTTCTCTGCATTCTGCCGGTAAGATTTCTCTGTTTTTGGTCGAGAACTTGTTGGATGCAGGTAACATAGACTTTTCGACGAAGACTTCCTTAATCCTCACAGTCAACTTGTTCTTTCCTCCTGGGCCTAATCTATCATCTCCATCGAGGTAGGTTTTGGATCCAATATCCAATAAACCTTGAGCAATTAAACCATCTTTCTCGAACAGTGCATTGAATGATTCGATATGAGGAGCAACTGCAGCGGTAAGTGCAGGATATGCTGTGTGATCTTTTGGGGGGTCTCGGAAAAGTTTCTCTCTTCGAACGGTATCAAACTCGTGAGTCCATTTGGTGTTTGTGGGAGCGGAGGGAGACTTCGAGGGAGCCATGGTGAAGCTGAGCGCAATTGATTAGTTATAGTGTTTTCATTGAGAGAATATTCGAAAGACTAATGAAGCTTGAAGCAAAACAAACACTTACGATCAAAGCAAATCCTTCAATTCATGGGAAACTTTACCTTCTCGAAAGAGTTTGTTGATATCAAATGAGCGGCATGTACAAGTTGCGGCAGAAAAAAAAAACTTTTGATTATATAAGCTATCCATGTTTTTATCTCTTATCGTCACAATCGTGATATTTGATTGATTGGCTGAGATTGGTGCTACTACTAGGGTCAGTAGATATGTACCTAGGTAGATGTAGGTCGAGGCTTTCCAAGTTTGTTCTATTTTTCTTTGGAGAAACATTGTAGGATGGGTAGGAGAGGTAAGAGAGGTAGGATAGGATGGGTTGGAGAGGGAGGAGAGGTAGGACAGGTATACAGACTTCACATTCCACATTCCACATGCATCATTCTTCATTCTTCATTCTTCATTGGGCTCAAGCTTATGATATCTCTGGGCAAACACCTTGGGCTCACATCCCCCGAAAATCCAATGCGAGGGCATTTGATGGCTTGAATGATGTTGATAGACAAGAGGGTTTCATTCGCTCTTCTACATCCAAAGCTTCCTCAACTGCATTGCATGTGTGAAGTACTACTCGTACCTAGGTACGAAGTAGGCATCTCCTCCGTACACGACCAGTATGTACATGTATGTAATAAAATCGGTCTGAACCTGATTTTGAATGTTCCCGGATTCATAGCTGCATGCTTGACCTGCGGTATGCGATATGCGGTGCGAATGTATGGAGGTACTTCTGTAGCTTGAGATGCAGATACCCATATTTTACCTACTAGGCTCCTAGGTACATAGATAGTTCGAACGAGAGAGCAAACGAAAGGAAGCCAACTTACCTCATTCATATCTGGTTATGGAAAGGAAGTGAAGAAAAAGCAAACCCTCTCTTTACTCGAAAGGAAACATTCTCGCCATATTTCTTTTGGGGCTACCGAGACGAGTCTCTCGCTGTCTCAAATTTCGTGGAGATATTATTACCTAGCACCTCCAGCTACCACTAGTACCTCATTCATTCATTCATTCAACTCATTATATACATCCCAATATTCTACTTATTGGTCTGATAGATCTATTGCATCGCCAAGTTTTCTTCCTTCTCTTCTTCTTCCTCTTCTTCTTCCCATATATCCATCCCTCCTGCCATCCACCCACCCACCCATCCATCCATCCATCCATCCATCTCTTTTCCATCATTTGGTCCATCACTCGATATCAATAGCTCGACGCAGCATCTCAATTCTACCCAACCTTACCAGACCAAACCCATTCTCTCATTCCTATTACTGATTGTATTACAATATCCAGCAGCCCAGTACCACACATTCAAAAAGACTTGGACTCCATCTGGCTGTTGTGATTTCTTTTCTATTTGTATACAATTTTATCAATCGATCAATTAATCGGTCAATCAGTCAATCAGTCAGTCAATCAATCAATCAATCAATCTGTACATCACTTCATCTTCCCACCTGTACTTATCGCCTACCCGCCCGCAACCGCACAATAACCTAAAATCGTGCTCTCAATCTTGCAATCATTACCGAAGTGGTTCGTGCAAGCCTTCTTTTGAGGGGAATCACAAGCGCTACAACCGATTGTGTGCTAAACTTCCCTTCACCGTCACATTGAACCCTTTTCCTCCAGAAGAAGAATCTACCCGCCATACATACTACACTCAACTTCACTCATTCAATCTTGATTCATTCGCCATTCACTATTGCATGCTTGTACAAACCATCAAGTCACTTTGACATTTATTGAAACGCCGAACGAAGTGTACGATATACATTGGGTAGCTATCTGATCATTGGCTTACTTGCGGAAAAACGGTCTGCGGCTGCACTGCATCTCTACTTCTTTTGCCGGCTTCAACCCTGCAATCTTGTATCTTCCTCTTGTCCAGAAACCTCACATACCTACCCTACCGTACCTGCACAGCCTTGCGAATCGACAAAATAACATACTCGTCAGCGACAGTGCTCCAGGGCTTCCATCGAAACAACAAATCATTCACATAGGTGTGCAAGAGAGACTGAAAAATCATGGCAAGTATATTCAGACGAGTGTATGATTGGTTGCTGCGGCTTTTCTGGTATGTTTCTCACCATCTGTTTGTTGCTTGAAGACGTCGACCTTGTGCGCACATCTTCATTTTGACAGCGACCCTCCCAAAAAAAGGCATTTTCAATAGGATTTTCTGCTCTCCATCAACTAACCTTGTAATCTGCCATTTAGGGCTACGGAAATGGACATTACGATGATCGGTTTGCAAAATGCTGGAAAGACATCTTTGTTAAGGGTACTAGCGGTAAGCTCTAACTCCACTCACCTTTTCTTTCCATGTTGAACCGTTTTACTTTGGCGGAAATGCTAACGATGGTGTTAATGTGCAGGGCGGAGAATTTACACTTGAGTACGATGATTCCTTTCCTTCACATCCAAGACAAGATAATATATACCTTCCTATCACGGCCTTCATTTCATCGAAGCGGGGTTCGCATATTCGTAGACCCCACGTTGCGCAACCGCTCCAAGCTGACCACATTTTACTTTCCCTCATAGCTCCATTCCTACCGTTGGTTTTAATATGAAGCGTGTCCAGAAAGGTCATGTCACTCTCAAATGTTGGGATTTAGGCGGACAACCCCGCTTTCGTTCCATGTGGGAGCGATATTGTCGCGGCGTAAATGCTATTGTGTTTATTGTCGACTCTGCCGATCCTGATGCCTTACCAATCGCTAAAGATGAGCTTCATTTGCTCTTAGAAAAACCCGTGTTGCAAGGGATACCTCTTTTGGTATTGGGAAATAAATCTGATTTGGAAAACAAGTTGAGTGTGGACGAGTTGATTGAGAGGTTGGATCTAAAGAGTGTAGGACATAGAGAGGTGAGCTGTTATGGGATCAGTGCTAAGGAGGAGACAAATTTGGATGCTGTTTTGCAATGGCTGGTTGCAAGGGCGAATAAGTAGAGTGCATACGGAGGGTGGATGATTGATCATCAAAGAACAAGTAAATCTTGTCGCGAAGTTTGGATGGAGTATTGCGGGTACGAATTTTCCGGATAGTAACGATGATTAACGACATGAAATGGCGAAAAGATGGGATGATAAATGATCGAACTTCGGAAAGGGTCTTCGCGGGCCACGAATATATCTCCTCAGCCCACAGCAACCAATTCTAATTATTTTCAAATTCTTCCTTCTCGATCGGCGAGGATCCCTTCGACTTCTAGTTTTCGACTTGCTGTGAGCCGAACGGCGGGACAGAAATGTGTCAAATTTCCTTGTATTCTTCTGGGTAGGATGCGCCATGTCTGCTACGATGAGACGACTTTACGACCCTCTGCTTTATTGTTGGATTACTGGGATCGACATCCAGCGTGTTGCATGGTGCCAGTTGGTAAATGAGGTAGTGGCACCGGTGTGTTGAAATAATCGGAGAAGAACCATTGTATTTAAAACATTCATACTTTGCGCTTCCATGCCCAGTCGTATTTCCATGAGTGCTTTGCGCTTTTCCATTTCCCAATATACATATATATACGTTTATCTTTCATGCGATCGTCTTGAAGTGTAGATTGTAGGATTTCCGGAAAGTCTTCAGATGTTTTATGTGTCCGTTTTGTCTTTGGCTGTATGTTAGGGCAATGCCGCGTCTTAGCAATGATAGAACGAGGTAATAGATGACAATGAGTCTTGTGTGTTGGAAACCCGTATCTGTCAGAAATCCGTTCGAGCGAAGATTGGCTTGCTATCAACTGCGTGTGCGCTGTTAACTCGTGTAGAATTTGTCCGCGGTGAAAAATTCCCAATGCCCAGCTTCTTCCGAAGTTTCAATTAAAGCTTTCGTGGTGAGACTATGTTCCAATATTCGTAGATGCGCGCGTCTCCTTCGTAACCTATTTCGTGACCGGATGTCCTCTACCCATATAGTAAGTGCCTTGAGGCTCGAGTCGAGTTGGCCAAAACATTGAATATGCTGAGAAGGAGTTTGCCGCGAATACAGATGTTTATAACGGCGTATTGAGTGTCTCACCTGGATTTTATACATCGTATCAATTTCTCGGCGCATCGTATGTAAGGTGTATAGCAATCGTGAGTGGATTCTCGGGAGCCTTTCCATGGGCTGGGATGGTGAGTGATTGGAAAGACATCGAGTTCGCGCTGGACAATTGGAATTGACGGGGAAAAGAATCGAGGAAGGGAGGAAGGGAGGGAGGGAAGAAAAGAAATGACAGAGGAGAGGGAGCGTCAGGCATTTCATACAATCATGCTTAGAGATGCATCGCGCATGCTTCGCTGGCAGCCCTTAATTCTCAGCAAAGCACAGTCCGCACGTTTGATGCGTTGGCACCGGGCATGGATAGCCCATGGCTTGCAGGAATGGAGGATGGGTGAGTGGGGTGTGATTGGAGGGATTGGCGAGAGGGGGGTGTGATTGAAGAAAAAGAATTGATGAGACAATTGGGAGGGAGGAAGGGTTTTTTTTTTTTGAGTGAGGCTTGAGGAAATGGAAGAGGAAATGGAAGAGGAAATGGAAGAGGAAAGGAAGAGGAAAGGAAAAGAGAATTAATAAAGATTGAAAGGGAAATTGTTTAGGTGGATAGGACAGACAGGGCTGTGAATCTGTGATGGAGCTTTGAGAAGTTCTTAAGGTTACTGGACTGGGTAGTAGTAGTGGTAGTAGTTACTGGACAATTTTATTTATTTATTTATTTATTTATTTATTTATTTATTTATTTATTTATTTATTTATTTATTTATTTATTTATTTATTTATTTATTTATTTATTTATTTATTTATTTATTTATTTATTTATTATTTATTTATTTATTTATTTATTTATTTATTTATTTATTTATTTATTTATTTATTTATTTATTTATTTATTTATTTATTTATTTATTTATTTATTTATTTATTTATTTATTTGTATGAAGTGGAATTTGATTGAGTATGACGGGCTTTTCTTTAGGGGTGTAGATGTAGATGTGGATGAGGATGAGGATGAGGATGAGGATGTAAGCTTATTAATCAGTTCAATGAAGAGATTGGGAACATATGGGATGAACGAGTCGGATGTGAACGGATACATGGTTCTTGGAAAGACCAATTGGTTGAGGGTAATTGGTATATATGGTATGGATAGGATGGAGTTGTTGGAATTGTTGGAATTGTTGTATATACGAGGTCTGGTCTGTCTGAATTCTCTGGTTATTATTGGTATATGATGTTATTTTGTCGATTGTACATATACCTAGTTATATATACTAGTATATATATTAGATAGCTGGAATTTATATACAACAAGTAGAGGGAGATGAAGCTGTCAATTTATTACTACCTAGGTTAGTATTTCTTTATATATCAACTAATACCTAGATATAGATAGTAGATATTATAAGTACATGATTTGAAATACTCTCTCCATCTACTCGTACAGATTGGTATGTTATATTACATACATGTGAATACCTAGTAGGCAGGATAGGATTTTCCATGTAAGGCTTGACGTTGATGCCGGTGGATATCTAGAGGACCCAACCCTCACTTCAATCAGTGCGACTACCTCACTTCACTCCACCACTATGCAATTTTGTCTCCCTTCTCTCGTCATCCGGAATGTTCGGGAATGTGATGAATACGAAGGAGGAAGGGATAGAGACGGAGAGAGAGAGAGAGAGAGAGATCCACATCGATGTCATCTATTGATTGATGTAATGGGTATGTATGTGTGTGTGTGTGTGTGTGTGTGTGTGTGTGTGTGTGTGTGTGTACAGAGCATATGTGTATATGTGTACTAGGTATGTCTGTCTGTATATATAATATTTCATATTTCATTACAATATCATACATCATATATCCATACATATTGACAATATATATATATATATATATATATATTCGCGGTATAGGTATATGGAATCTATCTATCTATCTATCCATCCATCAAATCCAATCCGAGTCCCGAGTCCCGATATTGACTTACTTTTTCAACATAGCCTCGAACCTATCACCAAAGAAGCCATCTATCTAGCACTTACGAGTTACGACCCAGGTTCCAGGTACCTGAGCTGATATGTCTCTTAGCTATTGATTTCCTCTCTAGCTAGCACCGTTCCTCTTCCTTTCTTCACCTTTCTTTTGCTTTTTCCCATCGTCTACTCGTACCGGAAGATTTAAAAAGATCCAACCATCTACCATAATTGTCTCATCGTCTCCATATCACCGTCTCTCCTTCTCTCTTTTTCTCCTTCTTTTTCCTTATTCATCCTCTTCTCTTTATACAATACTCTCTCCTCAATATCGTACATCAGACATTAAAGACAATTAATTCCTGACGGATCATCTTGCTTACCCCGCAAAAAAAAAAAGTACCCAACCATCATACTCTCAGCCCCCCCCCCCGGTCCCCCGTCGCCGCGTATCCTCTTTGCCACGATAAGGATTTCAATCAAATTATAAGAAAAACTCCCTCAAGCTCTCTTCCTTGCAATACTGGTGTACCTGCTGTACCAACCTAAAACCAGCTGAATCTTACCAACGAAATCATGGCTGTGCTCGTGCAGATGATTGCCAAGAGGCAAAGCAATGACTTTGATGATGATGATATTGTCAATAAGTAAGTCAATTTCCGATTTCCTTACCCAACCTCTCTCTATATTTCTTTGTTGTTGTCTGTGAGCTGTGATGACTGCGAAATACGAACAACTTCCACAATAACTTCACTTCTCTTGTATTCTACACACACACACACACACACACACACACACACACACACACATACACACAACCTCTGTAATTCTCCATCTTTTATTACATTGAGCAATATTCAGATATCCAGATATTTACATAATCATATTTCAACCGATTCACAATTCTGCAACGCATCTCGCAATACCAACAGCAGATATCAGTGTCTAAACTAATAAAATGCCTTACAGCTGCGATGGCTATGGAAACTGTTATTCTACATGGGGCAGTTGGGGACGATGGGTTGTGCTAGTTCTTATAATTCTTGCCTTTGTTCTTCTGGCTTTCGGTTTATCGTAAGTTATCATTATTTCCCATATGCTTCGCTGGCACGATCGATTGTGATCGTAGCTATCTATCGAGCTCATGTGTGGCTCGCCATATCACATCCCTTTCTTCAACATTCTCACTTCAAACCCACTAACACACACCACCAGATGCATCAACTCCCGTCGTCGTCGTCGTCAAGGAATTCAGCCAATGTATGGTACAGGCTGGATGGCCAAGCCACCTCCATACGGTCATTACAACAACCAACCCGGAGCTTACAACTATGGTCCCCCTCCCCCAATGTATACTCCAAATGGACAAATCCCACCTCAACAAACGGGCAACACTTTTAATAGCAATGATGGATATTACGGTCATCATGGTCATCATGGCCAACCAGATATCGAATTGCAACAACCACCCACTGCCTACACGAGAGGCGGAGATGATGTTTACCAAGCACCAATGGGTCCACCACCTACGAAACACACCGAGGGAGATGGAGTCATTCGATAAATGCTGATGAGATGAAAATTAGACGTTGGTTGTTTGAAGAAGTCCGAGTTAGGAGGCACTTCGCTTGCGCAGTGGTGAGGCGGTGGGTGGGAATTGCAATTGTGCTGATGCGATATAATGCGTCACAGCAATGGGCAAGTAGAAGGGGCATAGAATGGCGGTGATGATGAAAGGAAGTAAGGAATGATGGAATGGAATTATAGTCGTTTTAAGATCACATTGACGTCGGTTTGGGTTCGGGCTTGGGATTGGCTTTGGTGCTAGGTAATCTGTAAGGAAGGGAGTTTGGAACGGGTCGGACCAGTTTGGAGGTTTCCTATCAATCAATGGCAATGAATCAATGCATAATTCAGGGATGAAAGGGTTGGAAACGGTCAATAAGCAGAAATACACGAGTTATCATATTCACATTGCAAGTATGTGTTGTATTGTTTGGGTTATATGGGACAGGATCTTTATTGTGATTTTGAGCTTTGGAATGTATGATATGTATAATGTATACGTCTCTTGTGAGATGGAAGATATAGGAGATGTAGATGTTATGTTTGAAAATGGGATACTCGAGTCTCTACTAGAGGTAAGGTAGGGATGGTATCATGTCTTATATTTAATGATGTGTATTCTTATTTGATGCCATGAGATGTGATGCGATGCGATATGATTCGTTTTGTCTCGTTTCGTTTCGTTTCCTTCCGTTCTCCTATCTTTAGACGAGTTCTCTCAATTTTGATTTTCCTATATATCCATAGTTTATTCCCTCTCTCTCCCTCTCTCTCTCCTCCTCTCACACAAATACAAACATACTATATACTATATACTACTCGATACTTTTATTACATAACTGAGAAAAATCGTAGAGGCTTTGTAACGCTGCAGTTCGTTTTCAGAATTGAAGTTTCTAAATTCATTTGAGATGTATAACGGGATTGAGCTGAATATCTGATTCTTCGAAGTGAGAAACTTGGAGTTTTGTTGTGTATCTGAGGAGTAAATTGATAATGCATTGTAATACTATAATTTGTTTTCGAAATTGAAATTTATGAATTTATTTGAGGTGTATAGTAAGATTGAATACCTAATCTAATTCTTCGAAATGAGAAAGTAGGAGTTTGTTGTGTATCTGAGGAGGAAATGATAATGGATTGTAACGCTACAGTTCGTTTTTAGAATTGAAATATTGAATTTAGATATATGATAAGATTGAATACCTAATCTAATTCTTCGAAATAAGAAAGTAGGAGTTTTGTTGCATATCTGAAAATCATTGGTGGAAGGAGTGGTGTAAATCGATTTGGATTGGAGACCCTTTCAAGAGTGTATTTTATTAGATATACAACAAAACTTAAGGCAGCTAGCACCTGACCTGCTTGGTTCTTCGGAGTGAGGAAGTGGGAGTTTCGTTGCATATCTCAAAATCGTTGGTTGAAGTAGTGGTGTCAATCGATTTGGATTTGGATCTCTCTGATGAGATACTCTTTTGGGGATGCAATGCAATAAGACCAAACACCTGATCTAATTCTCAAAGTAGAGAGATAAGAAGTTTTGTTATAGATCTCAAAATCGTTACAGGAAGAGATCTCAATCCATTTGGATTTGGGCTTCTCAGATATGCAACAAAACTTCTCATTTCTACTTCAAGAAATTAGAGTAAGGTTTCTTATTATATATCTCAAGATCGTTGCAAGAAGATACTACAATCCATTTGGATTGGAAACCCTCAAACAACAAAGTTTTTTAGATATGCAACAAAACTTGAACTGTTGAGCACTTTTAATTGTGGCCAACCGATTGAACAATAGACCGCAATACTTCCGAAGCGCAACGGAGTGAAAAGAGGGAATTGAATAGAGAGACGTGTTGAATGTAGTGGTATTGAGGTCGGGAGGGACAGGTAGGAGCTATTTAAAGCTGGAGTAAGTTGTGTACCTTAGAGAGGTGAAGGGAAAGAGGTGTACTCGAACATCTGGAATGCTTGGAGATTGGGAAATAAAGGAATAAGCATCAGGGCAACTAGTCATATCAATCTAATCGATAAGTCGATAGACTGAAATAATGGATAAGTGATGAGTGAATCAAACGCAGGTCATATATGCTTCAACTCCTAGATCTACGAATGCTTGATGGAAGCTTTGGGGACACAAGACTGCAAAGATAAGCTAGAGGACCCGGAATACATCAAATTTGTGAAACACGAGCGGTCAAAGTTAAGCATTCTGATCTCCGCGTATTCGGCGAATTGCTGCCAAGTGTCAACAAAGTTCAAAGAATCTCATAACTGGTAGAATACTAGAGGTTTCTTGAATTTCCAATCCCATAGCTCAGTTGTCTACCTCTCATGGACAACTGAGAAGATAGATTAGGGTGAGATCATTCCCAGACAATGTAATTATCTGATTTGAGCTTGGGTTCTGGTGACCAGCTTGTATACTAAGCACACATATAGGTATCGTACAAGTTCCTCTATCAAAACTTCAAACGGACTCCTTATCAGATGTTGAATGCCAGTCTAAATCCAGTACAAATGTGAGATGGCAGAGATGAAACCGTGTATTGCGCTTCCCCGAGCATGCAGTAACTATTCGAAAGCAATCATTACTCAAACATCCTATGCTAATCGAATTCAAGTATTTACCCTGAACGGCTACCTTGAAGCAAATTGTACGCATTCAAGCGCTACTTTTCCGTCATAATAATTGTGGAATGAGAATACATGTGTACTGTTTGGGTATAATGGCGAAACAGGAGTTCCCCAAATTCTCGAAATGATCACACTTTCTAAATTTTCATTCGAGAGAAGTATTGTAGCTCAACATCAGATTGGTCACTTGAATCAAGGCTGGGAGTAATCTGAAATGATGAGCGCTTGCTCCATGAATGCAATAAAATAATGTAGTTCAAATAGAGGGAACTAGGCTCTTCAATAACAATATCTTCTCATGCCAAGCAGAACTTGCTTGACACTTTGTGTACTAGCACAAACCATCTGATCTCGAATTTGGGCGTAACTGCCTACAGCCTTGGAAGTTGCCTTACCAACAAGAGTGCAGAGGGCAGAGAAAATAGAACAGGGTAGTGAAGAAACGTTCAGCCATCCCTCAAATGTTGGCTAGCAGCGCTCAATCCTCTCAAGCTCTAGGCAAGCCAAGGAGGCTTATAGTGCGAATTTAAAATTACTTGGCTCTCGAGAACAAGAGTGCTCTCGGATTCTTGTTCCCTGACTGAGGATATGGATCTCGGAGTTTTCATTGGCATGTGAATAGAAAGAAGCTTCGATAGTACCGTTATAGAAGTACGTCCAAGATGACAATACTGCGAGAAAAATCGATACCCATCACCACTTCCACTTCCGCTTGAACATCGATTGGATACTCAGGACTGTTGACTTAACCAGGAGACGAGAGCATGAGAATAACATTTAGACTTCGTAGCCTTGTGAAGCCGTGGGTGTAAGCTAGCTGTATTTACGACTGTAAGGCAGTCCCTATACCCTGTATTACCAAACCACGACAACTACTGTATGACGTCTCAGCCTCAAGGTCTTGAATAGCATAACCACCAAGGGGACGTCTCACGGCTTTTCACAATTATGTCTACCGGCATTCGCTATATCTATTTTAAGTGCGATTCGTAGTTATTTGATGGCCAATGGATATCTCCTCATGATCTCTACAACTTTTCTCTCGAAACCCCATTTGATAACTGCGCCACGATTCTCTCCGAGCTTGCGAACCAACCAATGTTGTGAAGAGCACGTGATAATGATGATCATTATTCCCAAGGGCGACTTTACCATAATCATCAGCCACCAATGCCATGGCGCCAAGGTCGGGAAAAGGCACATCAACATTCTAACCCCTGACATTAGTGGAGTGGAGTGCGTGCTGGAGTATAAAGTGGGCATAATGCCCGATTGTCTCATTTCGGCTGTGATTGAAGGAGATAATGAGGAATTATGATGTAAATCATGTGATGGGGAAGAGGAAATAAATGAATGGAGTGATGCGTACATGGAGTGATGGATGAAGAGGAGAGAGGGGATTGAGGAGTGAGGAGTGAGGGGTGAAGAGGGAAGAGTGAAGAGTGAAAAGTAGATGACTGATCATAAAGCTAAGAATACCTCCTATTATGCACTCACTTCAGAGTGTGTTACTATCAACTATCAATGCAGACAGACTACCTACTTTGCAAATAAATCAAAACCCTCCATCAGGCTGATTCAGATTGAGGCAATAGTGGATTAATAAAATAGGCGGAAAATGTGAGATAGCGTAGAGATAGCCCGGGAAAAAAGCTTGGGCTTCATATACATGACCACCAGGACCTCCAACAAACCACAATCTCCTTCAAATTAAACAACTACCCTGCACTGCCCTGCCCTGCCCTGCCTCATCTCATCCACCACTCTCTCTCTGTCTGTAACAATCCAAGATGTCCAAGATCTTGTCCACTCTCGTTTCACCTATCATTGCCGTCCGAATTTGAGGGCACTTCAATCCTTCTGCTTGATATTGCATTATTGTTCTTGCGCGTCCGAATAAGGATACCTAAAGAATCCAAAAATCCTTCACTCATTCCTACAAACTCTTTCGGATCTCTTTTACTGCTTTGCGACGAGATACGAACTTCATTCTCTAAATCGGATGCGAAATCTTGGCAACAACTTCGAAGACTACGAAACCGACTAGAAGATTGCATAGAAATGACTGGGAGAAATTGGAGTTGGAATTGAATATTTCACAGTCACAAGAAGAATCCCCCTTCGCTGATTCAATAGCACGTTGATTCACCAGAGTCATCAGATTGACTCAAGAGATTAAAACCTTCGGTCAATTTGATGGTGGACATATAGAGGAGGGAAATTTGAGAGTTTGCTTTGGAAGGAAGGAATAGGACCCAGAATAATCCAAATCAAATGAGGATCAACAAATAACTGGAACTACCAACCAGCAACAAATCTTGTGCCATCCAAAGGGACTACTCACTTGCGACGCACAGTGTAAGTTATTGCATACAACAAACTTGACAATCAAGTCTTGCCACGCCACCCCAAGGCACTTTCCGACTTCTAGAATTTATTGTGTGCCAACATTACATTTCACAATGCCACATATCACGACAGCGATGGAGTGGAGTAGGAGGAGGGGAATTGGAGAAATATTGGTGGATAGCTTTTTGAGGAAAAGATCAATTACAGACAATGTCTCGAGTGTGAAGGATTCTTTCAGTTCATGGTCAAATTGCATGGCAGCTACATATTGCAAGTTCGTCGCCCCTTCCCGTTTGACACATTCCATTGTTGTTCCCTACTTAAACTCAAACTAACCTCACCTCACCTCCAGATGGCCTGTTATAGCAGCAATGATTATCGGCGGCTTGATGGTTTTTTCCATAGTTTGGTGTATAATAAGATGTGCTTGTTGTGGCATGTCCTGTTGTTGCACTTGCTTTTCCTTTCTTAAATGTTGCGATTGTTGTGGTGGCTGTTGCGATGGTAAAAAGGACCGTCCTCACAAACATCTTGACGATTATCCACCTCCAAACCCAAATCAAGGCTATCAAGCCCCAGCCCCGATGATGGGCGGCGCGCTTCCTGCACGACCCGAACCTCCCAAATATGCAACATTTGAAGTAGGCAAAAATGGTCTCGCGGTCGATCCGCCAAAGACTATCTCAGAAGATGCATTACCGCCTATGCCGACATGGGAAAATGCGAGCAAAGTACATGTAAATGATGATGAGAAAGGTGATATGGGCATGGAATTGAAGGAGCTAGATCCTGTCACGGGACAGAAGATGTCATTGATGAACGGAGGTGTCGCCAATAGTCATCCCAATAGCCCAGCGGTTGGACCAGGGGGAAGCCCCTATGGAAGACAACCTCAGGGTATGAACAATGGGTTTATGAATTCACAGGATCCATATAACCAAAGTCAAGTCAATTTAGGAGGAAACGGAATGGGTAGAGGATATGGCGTAGGAGGAACACCGAGTTCAGGAATGTCCATCGATCCGCTCATAGGCTATAGAGGAACGCCGCCTCCAATGGGCCCAGGTAATCAACAAGATGGAATTGGGTATAGAGGAACACCGGGACCTGGGTCGGCAATCGGAATGGGAAATGCAGGTATGGGATATAGAGGAACGCCTCCACCTGGTGGTCGAGGATATCGCGGTGCACCTTCACCGGGCCCAGGAATGAATCGTGGACCAGGGCAATTTAGGGGCGGACCCTCTCCAGCACCAAGCCGAGGATATGGAGGACCACCTCAGAACCAAGACTTTGAACCGACTATGCCACAAGAATTTATTACCAGTGGCGGTTTCAATGATTCTCCAGTCTCGGCATACGGTCAAGCAGAACCAATGTACGATAACCGACCATACCCAGCCCAACCATCACGTCAATTTTCCAATGATTCCTCGAGGCCATTGAACCAAGGAAGATCATACACCAACAACACTGAGCAGTCATATCAATCCTATCAATCGGATGATTCCTCAAATGTCGGTACATATCCTCCCCCACGCATGCCTTCTAGGGGACCTGGACCAAATGGACCGAATAGAATGATGTCACCTGGCCCGCAGATGGGAGGTTATGGTGGTGCGCAACAAAGAGGATTTAACAATCATTCACCTGCACCACCATTGCAGCAAGAGACATCAGTGTATCCGGGATACAAACCTTATGCTCCACCAGAGCCAGAGACACCAGCATATCCAGGATACAAGCCTTACACGCCAGCTCCTAGGTAGTGATTAAAGAGTTTAAGATTAATGACAAATGCTCGAAAGAAAGTGTGGGCGAGAGAGAAAGCCGGTCGAGCGGTAATATTTGAGAAGGATACCACTATATGGACATACTAGGGTTTAGGGAATGGAGTATTGAGGCGTTTATAATGGCTTATGAATTTAGCTGCTATTGGGATATTCTTCATTTGATGCATAGGATGCAAGCGTTTAAAAGCCATTTCGTTGGATGGTATAGGGCTATTCTGAAAAATGCCTCTTGGCTATTTTATTTTATTCGGAATTGATGTAGCAAGTGTCTTCGGAACACTGCGGGAGTATTTGTTGTATATTTATATTCATGACTTCTTTTTCGCGGGGAGCTGTAAATACCCTTGCTTAGCTTGGATCTATTTAAGAGTGATTAGGATTATTTATATTCTTCCGGATATTGTTGGATCATTTTAAGAGATTGTTAGTAAGTATTTGTCTTGAAAATGAGAGGATCCTTCGTTCTTATCATACAAATACATTCCAATCAATAAACCTTTATACTCATTTTTACGTGCCTATTAATTGAAAAGATTATCTAGCTTGGACCATAGCTGGGTAGGGAGAATGGAATGAGTGTATGAGTCGCTGAAAAGTCTTGATATCGAGTGGGGATGGATTTCTCAGATCATTGTGTGAATATTGACTCTCTGTTGACTTCAGATTTCTAGGAATCGCTCCAAAAAGAGCAGTCCAATTCTGCACTCTACCTATCTTCATTCACGATAGGGCGAAATATGCACTCATTTCACTGTGTTTCTATGCTCATTCTTATACAGAGGAATTAGCCCACAGGTCCAAGTGCCGGCGGCCATGCTTCTCCCAGCTTTTCCCAGCTTTGGGGCCAATTTTTTCATCAGTTTTATAGTTGAACCAAAGATGCAAATTAGGGAATTCAATGAGACAAGTGTTATGAGCTGATGGAGCAATGTTCGTTAGGCCTCGGGAAGTCCGATGGTCAAAGATGAGGTCAAGTGTTGGGAGGCAAGATAAAACTACTTTGACATCTGACTCGATGTATAATGAAATCATCGCATTTGTTGCTAGACATATTTTCGTAATCAGCTTGTTATTCTATGCTCGTTGATGGTTCTCTTGCATACATGACTCAAACTTAACAGATACTACAGCGGGCTCATGAGATGCTAGATTTTGTGATGATGTGAGAATAGTTAAGCTATCTTTTTCCTTCATAGTAAAGATGCTTCACAACATTTTCACAAAGGGCATTTCCCGCCTATGTGCATCTCGGGAATACCGTTAGCACTACGCTTCTTCACATGGATATCAAACTTACAATAAGCAAAGCAAAAAGTAAGCAATATGCCGATTTTCCGACTCACCGCTGAGTTTAGCGTTCACACCACGATCAAGATAATGATAATCACGATCAAATTAATCGCATCATCCAATACTAAATGTCCAACCGGGATGTATTTTTAATTCCCATAATCCACTTGCACATGATAGGTCTTTGGCAAAGTATTCCGAACGCATCCACGTTCTAACAATATCGCTAAGAAAAGGAGACCGCCCGGGCCACTAGCAAAAGACATGTTAGGATGTATACTGTGCAGACTTGATCAACGAGTGAAGAGCAAATGGTGCATGAATTGGGCACTTGACATGTAGGAACCGAGAGTTGTTGTAATGAGAGAATGGGTGATATAGGCAAGCTATAGCGTAGACTGGTTTGCTTAAGTGTGATTGAAATTTTCCTTCTCTTAACTTTTCTGAATAACAATTTTATATTGCTATATGGGAAGTGATGCCCTAGTCTTAAGACGAAGCTAAGCATCTATACTCGAGAGCCTCCCTGCTACGCCTACTCAATTTACAAGATCATGACATGTTTGGAAGAGATTATGGATTGCGGCCAGAATCCATAAAAGTGTCCCGGATTTCACAAAAACAGTCAGCATTAGCATTGAATTGGGTCTGGAGAACAAAGACACTGTATTTGGCTTAACATTAAGAATACATACAGGCATTTCGTCACTTCTTCAGGAAAGTTGCTTATGTATACGTGCATTAACCTCAAGGTCATTACTAGACTAGAGCAGGGGTATGTATGAGAACGAGAAATACTATGAAGGCGCCCACTTGAGGCATTACCCAACATGTTATTGAGAGATTTATTATCGGAGCTGATATCTTCGGCTCAACTAGTATGATAATCTTTAGCTAGGCATGGATCTCTGCCGCAACAAAGGAGAAGTTTCCAGACATTCAGCAAATAAGACATACATAATACACCCGTCTATTCCGAATATTCTACTTACGATCTCTGCAGTTATGTGATTTCTTTGGCGGGTCACGCAGGTCTAGACTACTGTAGAAGGATGGGCCAAAGTCTAGTGGCATTGATGCGGAAGCGGCTCGTCATTATGTCTGCTTTCATCGACCAGAGTGCAAAGTCAAATTTTTATCTTACACGCTTACATAGTGGGTCTTTCACTGTCAGCAGTAGTGACATACAATCAACTGTGGGTCACATCACACTATTTAAATCTATTGTACTCCTCGCTTCCGTACAATTGAGTCTACATAGGAGAACAACCAGAGCGTTCAAGATAGCTCAATCATTAGTCATGGCATCAGCAAGTGATACATTGAAATACTCAGAGCCCGGATATGCAAGATCAGTTGACAGAGCAAAGTTCCCATTCTATCTACCGAATATAGATGCAAAGCTCATTCCCGAGGTACGAATCAATGCCCTCGGATCCTCAAAGATAGGTAGTGGTCTTTCAACGAACTGACATTCTTCAAAGCGTAGACAAGACAGCTATTAGAAAAGTATAGCCACATCCCACCGGAGGAACAATCCAAACATGTTCATGAAATCGTAGGGCGTTCTTTCCTCATCTGCTGTTTATCTAACTCTAATCCTTCTTCTAGCGTGACCAAGCCTGGGACATCCGCGCGTACCCTTGCACTGGGGTTGGTGCATGGCTTGTACCTCAAATCTGCCGGAACCCTGTATATCCTGAGATTCTGAAGCGGGTCCAGGCCGGTGAGGTACTCATGGATGTTGGATGTTTTCTTAGACATGATCTTCGACGATTAGTCTACGATGGTGCGCCCTCAGACAAAATTTATGCTGTCGATATCGTGAGCCATTGGGAGGTGGGAGGTGGGATATAACTTGTTCCGCGACCGTGATCAGTTTTCTGCGCAGTTCATTGAAGCTGATATCTTATCCGAGTCCAAAGTACTGGCGCCATTGAGAGGTCAAGTAGATATTATCGCAGTAACACAGGTGATTCATCAATGGGATTGGGAAGGACAAGTCAAAGCAGCCAAATAGTTGATCAGATTTACCAAAGGGCCTGGCTCCATGATTTTAGGAAATCGGATTGGAAACCCCAAAGCACAAGAAGTAACTTTGAAGTCACTCGTCGTTCCCATGTGGCGACACAATCCGGAATCTTTTGCAAAATTGTGGGATCAGGTTGGACAGGAAACGGGGACAAGGTGGGAAACGCGGGCAAGGATGAGATCCTTTGACGAGATGGCATTTGGTGTTGAAGATGGTGCTTAGATGGAGGATGGAGTGGCAAACATTGAGTTTTCTGTGAAGAGGATCGAGTAGGAATAAAACACTGAAACTTAGCGTTTAGTAGATTATAGAAAGAACAATATCATTTCGGAAGATTAAAAGGCACTTTAGGAACCTTATCATTATTTGTCTCTGGAGACTATTTCATGTTTCACATGCGTAGATTGAAATAGTAGTGAATTAATGAGTGATAGGGAAATCGTTTTATTCGAGGTGTTGTTACATTTCGATTTAAGACCCTCTATCTTGTAATATTTTCTATTATAGATTCGTAGAAGCAAACTAATCGATTATATACTCTATAATATAATTTCATACTTCTATAATTAGACTATTTTTGTATTTTATATATTTATAAAACTCTTTCTGATTAGTTGTAAGTGATGTATAAAAACGTAGTTTTTCTAATTGAGCAGGAAAAAAAGCCTATAGAAAAAGCAATAGAACTACTTCAATCCAATATACAATTGTAAATGAATTGATAATATAATCGGAAAAGAGTTAATTAGATTAAAAATAATAAAGAATTTTAAAATTCATAACAGTTTCTAAAGTAAGCCCTATTATAGCAATAGAGTTTATTAATTAAAGTCCGAAAGAAATGATTAAGATATACTTAAAGGAGTGTTTACGAAAAGAGATAGTAATAATAATAGTATTGATTTTCATCTAATAGATATAGATTAAAGACTTGTATTCTGTAATCTCTTAAGAAGCATAAAGTTAAATTTCATTAATAGTTTTTATAACTAAACTAATTAAATAATCTTGAAAGCGTTTTTGATTTATAATAAACTTTATAAACCTGTTTGAATATGATTCTTTTATTATATTTAAAGCGAATACAAATTGATTTAAAGTAATATATGTTTTCATTATAAAAATAGATAATTGAGAGATCTATTTTAATATCATTTAAAAAACTAAACAATAAAGAAATAACTATTTTGAATCAGAAATACAAGATCTTATAGAAAAAAGTTTCAAAAAAGACTATTAATTATATTAAATTAAAGTTATTAATGAAAATATATAAAAAAACAAAATAGTAAAAAGAAAAGAAGGAAAGATAAAATATTTAAATTATTAATATATCGAAATTACATAGGATTTTATTAAAAATAAATTTTAATATAAAGTTTATAAGAATAAATAATTTTATAAATCATGCATGATATTTAATATCTTTTGTTATTATACTTAAGAAAATAAAGAATCAAATAGGTTTTTAATAAAGAATCTTTAGGATTTAATATAATAATCAAAATAGAATAAAGTTTTTTTTTTGAATTTATAACAACCTTGAAATATTTCAAGTAATATTCATATAATTGAATTTCTTATAATATTGAGTGAAGTTTTTATAAAATGATTTAATGATTAATAGCCTATATAATCAATTTTATTAGAAATGAAGTTTAGAAAGAAAGCTAGATTTTAGATTTTAGATTTTAGATTTTAGATTTTAGATTGAAATATATTAGATTGAAATATGTTAAATATTATTATAAAAAAAGCTTTGATACATTTTTGATATTATTGTTAAAAGACTATAAATTGAAATCAATATTAAAAGTATAATATATAATATCAATATTAATGAACATATTATTAATTTAATTTTTTTAATAAAAAAGATTTCAATATATTTCTTTTAAACGAAAAAGATTATTAATATAATATTTATATACAGTAAAATTTATTTTAAATTAATATTTGTTCACATTTCAGTTATATGTTAATAGTTTTATTATTGAAAATATAAGAGATCGAGTTAATGGATTTCGAGTTGTGTATTCTTTGTTTTTATTCTGATATGTAATATAACTACATTTAATATATTTGTTTTGATTAATTTGAGAGAATTATGATTTTATTATTTAAGAGAGTTATTAAGTATTTTGAAAAGTTTTTTTATTATAATCTTTGTATTTAGTTTGAGATGAAATCGATGTAATTTTATTAATGAAATATAATAATTAGAATCTGGATTTAGAGATTGCAGAGAAAGGATAATTTAATTATGGAACTTCGATGATTTTAGAAATTTATTTATTTTTAATATTGTGTTTTTTAGTATTTATTCAAAAAAGAATATATTTGATTGAAAAGTGAATAATGTTAATAATATTATTATAAATATAGGTTATGATTCAACTCTTTTAAAAAAAATGAAGACAGATTTATATTTTTGAAAAAAAAAGAGCAATTTTTTATATTTTGATGACTAGTAATCTATAATAAATTCAATATCTTTTTTAACTTTGAAATTAATTATTATAATTTGATTTATGTAGTTTCGTTAAAGATTTTACATCTTTTTATATATTACATTTTAATATTACGAAGAAAAATTATATTAATGTTAATAGTTTTATATAATAAAATATAAATGAATTATTAATTATTTTAAAGATGAAGTATAATATAAATTATGATATATGAAATCATTTTAATTCTTTTTATTATATGTTTATAAGATATCAATTTTTTATTAAATTGTATTTTGAATTGATAAAAATTATTTCAAAAAGAATTTTAATGATTATATTAATAAGATTAATATTAAATTTAATATTGATATTGTTTTATTTTTGAAACAAATGAATCAAAGAAATAATTGAGAATATTATATAAATAATTCAGTTAGGTATTATAAAAGAAACTTTCGGAATATGTTATATAGTATTTAGAAAATGAATGTTATAAAATTTCAAGAAATTTTCAATCAGTTTATTAATAAGAGAATGTATAAAGTTAAAT